TAATACAAAAAATGACTTGACCCAAAGAGTTGTGAGTTCAATACCTGGCCATAGCAGAGGTGATCAAAAAAACTTGTATAGTTGAGTTACTAAAGGGAATTAACCAAGATATCAAGAAAAAGGCATGACACGTGGAACTAGAACAATCTACCCCCATGGATTAAATAAAGGTTTCAGTTAAAAATTGCAACGTCTATCACCTTAATAAGACTGGAGCATGCAATGGCCAAAACGTTGTAAGTGTAACAATAAAGATGAGGACTACAGTCCGAATAGTATAAATAGTTACAACACCACATCTCAGAAATATAGAGGTGACAAATAGATTAATTCTGAGATTTTTTTTTTGGAATATTGTGCTTATTCATAGGTTTTTTTAAAGACTGTTTCCTTACATATTGGACACATGCAAAATCAGCTAAACATTGTGATTAATAATGTAGGCAAGTAAAAAGAATGAGATCTTTTAGTTTTTTGCTTTTTTTTTAATGTCATCCTGAAAACGTGTGATAGACAACCACTGTAGTCCACAATTACAATTCATCCCACTTGGTTAGTAAAACATATTTGTTTATTTATCAACCTTCTGAGGGTTATTTTAGATTGTAGGAGGTTGTTTATATATGCTCACCCACCTAAGTACTGATCAGGCTCAATGTTGCTTAACTTCAGCAATCAGATCAGAACCTGTGTTGTCAGCATGAGTTGACCGTAAGAGACGTAACATTAATCTCTACATAGGGAAGTGTAATTAACATTACTGTTTTAATATCATTTTAAATAATGAATTTGTGGTGACTTCACATTTCTTATATTCAGTAAGAAATTGACTCATGGGAATAAAGTAAAACAAATACAATTTGAGTATTCTTTATATGAAATTCCAAAAGATTTTCAGGTGCTGAAATGACTTGCCACAAATGGAAAATTTCACAACATACTGGGAACGTTCCTAGGTGACACGCAGCTGTTGTAAGTAACTTCATCTGCTCTGGGTGGGGGTTTCCCAGCCTAGGTACATTGCCTACGTTGGTGCCAGTTAGAAACACCTTCATTCATGGATTACTTACCAGGTGTTTCATGCTATTCAAAATATCAAAAGGTCCTGCATTTATAGGTTTTTTGTAAGTAGTGATCATATTTTTTTCTACACATACAAAAAGTACAAAACATTATTTTTGTGTGAAATCTAAATTTCACCACTTAAAAATCTCAGAGCATTACAAGACTAGTGTCATTACCAGTATACAAAATTTATTAAATTTTATATAAAACTACTTACAGAGTATATGCTATTTATATAAAACTACTTACAGGGTATATGCACAAGCAGTGTTATAAAATGTAAAGGGCTATCATGTTTATGCTTGGGTTGCATTCCCAAGGTGACCCATTTTATAGATGCTATATACAAATTAAATAGACTGTATTCCAAAATAAAAAAAAAATCTGAAAACCAAAACACTTCCAGTCCCCAAAATTTTAAATAAAGGATTCTCAACCTGTAATACAATTTTTTTTTACCTTTTAATCAGATGGAAATTCATGAAATTCTTACATATTTTAAGATATTTTGCACTTTTTGGAATTTATGATAAAGATGACATTTATTTATACATATGCACTTTTATAAGTATATCATTTCCAGTTACATAATCAAAAAGTGATCCCATTCTTGAATCATTCTGGTTCATTCTTGTGCTTCAGCAGTGCAACAAGATGGCTACTACTAGATTTTGGAAAATAGTTTCAAACAGCACTCCTCCTTGTAGTGCTTATTGTTGTGGACTGGCTAGTAAGCACTACAAGGAGCCTTTAAATGGAGCTTAAACACCTCACTCTTGCCAGCTTAATTAGGAAAATTATAAATCACAGCTCCCAGCCCACACTCGTCCCAGACATAAATATTTTGGTGGAGACTGACTGGACATACATAGTAATGTCACTTCAAGTGCTTTGAGCTGTCATACCCAATTAAAGGGTCATTCTTCCACTCACATCTCATTTAATGAGCATCATTGTATATTGCCACAAAAGCATCAAAATATAAAGATACTTTTTCAAAAATAGAATGAATTGATAAATCAAAATATAAAGTGACAAGAATTATAAAATAAAGAATTAAAAATGAACCAATTTTCCAAACATTTTTCAGATGTTCCAATCATTTTTTTTGTGTATTCACTGATGAACATTTTGGCAGATCCATTCTTCACCCTTCTCCAGGTGTAATAAGTACAATAAAGAAAATCTATTTGCTCAAAAAAACCAACAGTTGACAAAAAATACTCATTAATATACCCACTGGACTGGTCTATTTTTTTATAATTCCAGGTACACCAACAGGAGGAAGGGTGCTCCCCAACATCAATTTTAATATACAAAGAAAACCACTTTGTCATGATTTTTGAAATTATTATTATATGTCTCGCTGTTCAGACCAACGTGCTCATCTTGTTTGTTATACTCACAATTTTTCAGCTATTTTACTCCCCAGCCTTCTTCAGATGTGCCATCATACTTGGTAAACTTCTTGGAATTTCAAACAAAACTCTTTATTCAATCAACAGTGTCTAGTAGTGCTGCAATGTCACCTACTCTGGTTCAATGGAAGAAATGAACAAGTTTTGATTGATTCATTTTCTATAGCTTAATCAACCCTTTGCAGAAAGCCAGAAAATATTTTAAGATATTAAGAATATTTTTGTAGATAATGATTTAGTAATACAAATCTTACTAATTAATCCATAGCTGGGAGGATAAGAGGTAGATTCATACCCTTCCCAAGGATATTTGCATGTAAATGAATATAATAAACCCAACTGGAATTGGAACTCAGCTCTCTGATTAACAATTCCAAGCCATTATCCATTATACCATCCACACATCCAACCTGACATTCCTAAGCAATCACCCACGATGGTACTGACCAGGCTTGATGTTGCTTAAATTTGGTGATCATACAGAACTAGAGTTTCAACATGCAATATCCATAAACCTCAAATGAACAAGTGATACAAAGTCACATAAGACCGGTGAGTATTAAAATAGATTGAATAAACAGTTCTGTTTAAACTTTTAAGAAGGCTACCAAGTACAACAACATACACCTGAAGATGATCAAAGGGTACAATGACTGAAACATTGTGAGTATAACAACCAAGATGAGTATCCTGGTTTGAATAGAAAAACACAATGTTGACATCTGTGCTATCCCAACTCACACACAGAATCAACATGCAGCTTCCTCTTCAATTAAGTGAATTTATCCTAGAGAGGGTAGTGTGCATCCTTCTCTCTCTTGATATGGTCCTTCATAAAAGCTGTTTGTACTTCACCTTGAGTTACGGCTACTTTTTTTAATCCCATGTCTGTTCACAACATAGACAATCATGACTCCTGACAGATTCCTTTGTCTTTATTATCTGTGAAATGCCATGCCATCTAGGTAAAAATTGTAGTTTTCCCATTTCTTTCTTTACAGCTTGGAATTTAGAGTTTTCCTTCTCTTAGAATGTTTGCTACCCAATGTTTAGAGAGCACAGTCTACCCTACTATTTAACCCAGATCTATGTGAAGCAACAGATTCAGTTGGAATTTGAACTGAGCTCATTAATTCCACTTCCAAATTCCATTACACTAACCAAACACAATTTTCTTATGTCCCTTAAATCTGACTTCAAGAAGACAGCTGTTTCCTCCAGTTTATATACCTTATCACATATGCAAAGTATGTTGTAAATGCAGTTCTTAGACTTTTTCTTTGGATAGATCAACACTGGTATGAAAGTTATGATGGGTAGATTCACTATTAAATACTACTCAATTCTTTGGATGTATTATACCATTCCTCTTAAAAAAACATCAATTGAAATAATCTGAAAAAACAAAAGTCAGAAGATTACAGTTAAAAAAAAAAATAAATAAATAAAATAATCAAAGGAAAACAATTTATCCCAAAAAGATTTTTTTTTAAAAAAATGAATATAAAGTGTAAATTTTTCAATTTTTCTTTTTCAATATTAACAGAAGAAATGGAACTCAAATGCTAGTCAATAGCTCACATTTTTAGATAGCATATGATAAATAAGATATATATCTTAAGCTTTATATATATATATATATATATATATATATATATATATATATAAGGGTAAGTCAAAAATTATCCACACTTTCGCTATAACATATCTTCAGGTTTGTCATACGGCCTTCTGTTTATGCATGCTTTTAGTTTGTACCAAAGTTTGAGCTTGATCACACCAGTTTTCTTGCTGCTGTTACAGTGTAAACATGGCCATGTCACTAGCAGTGTGCAACAAGAAGTAGTGATCCAATTTCTCTTGTTGTAAGTTGTGCCAGGGGATGAAATTCATTTAACATAATATGGTGACAGTGTACTACTGCATAGAAGTGAGGATGAATGGATTGAGAAGATTAAAAGTAGTCAAACAGGCATGAAGCACAAAGAAAGAGCAGGACACTTGTCAATCTCCTCCACTAACAAGAAGATTCACCAACCTCAAGAGGCAGTAATGGCGAACCGGTGAGTTATCATAGAAGAGGTAGTATGTTCTTTTGCAGATTCATATCACTGATCTTTGTTTCTCTTTGGTGCACATTGCTAACAGAGGGGCCATGTTTACACTGTAACAGCAGCAAGAAAACTGACGCACTCGATCTCAAATTTCAATCATATGACTACAATAGTACCATATATAAGCACACATTATATCATAGACGAGGTAGCATGTTCTCTGCAGATTCAGATCACAGCTCTTTGTTCCTCCCTAGTGAACACTTCTAGTAGAGTGGCCATGTTTACACTGTAACAGCAGCAAGAAAACTAGCACAATCAAGCTCAAACTTCAATCATGTGACCACAAGAGTACCAACTATAAGCAACACATGAGTAGAAGATGGTGTGACAAATCTAAAGATATGTTGTGACGAAAGTGCAGATAATTTTTTACCTACCCTTGTATACAAGCTTGAGATCATTACAAAATGGTTTCATGCAAAAATTTGCTCAACTCATCTAGAAACATTTTTTGACCATCTGTTTCTTCCAAGGAAATAAAACCATGAAATGAATTCTCAAAATGTTTGTGTTCGACTGTTACTCCGGCTTGTTCAAGTCTTTTCGCATACATAAATCCATCATCTCGAAGCACATCATACTCAGCTGTGATCATAAATGTTGGTGGCAATTTGTCCAGTCGCTGAGCTAAAAGGGGACAAAAATATGGATTCAGAAGGGTTGGCTCAAAAGCATCTGACAGTTTTTCATCACCAAAATTCTTCCGTGGTTTCTCAGTGAGCTGTTTCCGAAATTCCTCAGGAAGTAGACTATGATCAACAGCATCGCCATATTCAGAAGCCTTCAAGAGTGCTGATGTATGGTTGTTGCTCCTGAACTTCTCAATATTATCAGTGTGTCCTTGATAGTATAACAGCCAGTATCGAATCATGATTTCCTGAGTAAGAAATTCAGGCACATTACGAGTCAGCATTGATGGTGTCCTGAAATCAAATGCCTGCAGAGCTGGATAAATAAGAACTTGAGCTTTTAGAGTTGGTAAACCCGTCTCAACTGCAAGACGCAGGGAAACTGCAGCTGCTAGATTTCCACCTGCGCTGTCACCTGCAAGAAGAGAATCAAATTTTTGTAATAAGACTTAACATAACATGATGTTATAACAACATATAGCTTTATACATGTAATAGATGGCATAATGGATAGCAACTTGGAATGGGAAAGCAGAGAGCCAAATTCAAATTTCAGTTGGGTACATTACATTCACAAAATAACCCATGCAAAAGTTATGAATCCATCTCCTTCCTCCCCAGCTATGGGTTAAATAGTAAGAAAAAACATTTTTACTCTCAAAAAGTACTTAATTCAATATTCACTATCAAAAAAATATTCTTACAATCCAAAATATGTTTCCACTTTAAATACCCCACAAAGGGTTGATAAGTCATAAAAAATCAATTCAATCAATTATACATGTAATAATGTATGCAAGAACAATATATGCATACTATGTAATAATGAGCATAAACAAGTGCATTCATACATGTATATATTACATAATAACTATATTATATTTATATATATCTATATGCATTTTCAATATGTATAATACATAATAAATAAAAAATATAATATTCAGATAATATATGAGCAAGATATGGTTTGAAATTCATATTTTTTTTTTACTTTAGTTCACTCAATACAAGGCCAAAAAGCCACTCAAGCTAGATGATTGGTGAGCAAGATAGTTGTAAGGGGGAGTAGGAAGTAAGAAGTGCATTGTATGAGGATATGTAGGATAGATATCTAGACTTGAAGAGGTTAAGATTGTAGTGGTCAGAGAAACATTCTCTCTGGAGTCTATTCCACAAAGTAACAAGTCTGGAGAAGCTGTGTGGAACTTGCTCCTTACCAAAAGAACACAATGGGAATGGTGTGATTTGCCACCATGAACATGTCATAGCTGGTCTTAAGTATGAAGGTCTTAGTAGGTGGGACTAAGAAATGTAACTCATTTGAACATTTGCTATAGGAATAGCAATAGAATAATGAAAGGCTAGCACTATGTGGGATAAAGGTTGTAGGGTGGAGAATAATGCATTGCCCACTCAATCATTTTTTTAACTCTCTCAAGGCTTGACAACATCATTTTATTGTCATTATTTCTATTGATTACCCTTATATTGAATATTGTATATTGAATCAATAGATAATCAATAGATAAGTCTGTTCCTAAGAAAGTTGGATCACTATGTTGTGGTAGACAATTTTTACCACCAGAATCTATCTTAAATATTTATAAGTCTACCATATAAGTCTACTTGCTTTGAATATTGCTGCCTGGTGCTCCTGCTATATATTTAGAGATTCTTTATAAAATAAAATTCAAAGAATCTGCAATGTTATTGGTCCTGACCTGACATCTTGGCTTCAGACACTTTCCCACTGACATGATGTAGCTTCCCTGTGCCTTTTCTATAAATACTTTCATGCTAATTGTTCTGATGAACATTCCACTATAGTACCTAGACTTTATAAATTTAAGTGCAATATTAGATTGGTGGCAAGATCTCATCATTTTACAGTTGCAATGGCTAAATGTAACCGTAATGTAATTTCTATGCTAACAGTTTCTTGCTTGTGGAACTCTTTCGGATTCTTACTTTCCAATCAACTTTTAATTTAAATGCAATGTCAATCGTTATCTTCTGTCTTAATTCTTATTCTTTTATTGTTCTCTCTCCTTAATAGTAGTTTTTATCATACTCTCTTACACTCAGTAAACCTCTGCATCTTAGTGGCTTTATTGCCTTGCTTGGGATAAAATGATTAAAAAAACATTATCATTACAGGTTATCTTGGCATACGGAAGACAAGAGAAGCATGGGAACCAGAAAATAACCTACTTAACAAGTCTGAGGAAATAGATGCCAGAACAAGCACCATAAAAACCAAAGAGATGGTAAAGAATCAAAAGTTATTTATAGCATCAAAGGAGGCACAGTGGAATAATGGATAGCGACTCGGATTGAGGAATCGGAGAGCCGAGCTTGAATTCCAGTCAAATCTATGACATTCACTTATGTGCTAATACACTTGGGAAAGCATGAATCCTATTCTCCTCCCTCCAGCTATGGGTAAATAGCAAGACAGACCAGGTTCTATAGCTTTGGATGGCAACTAGTCTACTGCAGAAAGAAATGGCAACCTACTGCAGGAAAAAATCTGCCTCATCAGTCATGTATTAAAAGATACATGATCACTTAAGCGTGTATCACATATGGCACATAACTGACTGATAGCATCAAAAGATGAGAAATTGTAGAATGATTACCCACAAACTGAAAGGACCAATCAAATTGTGTTAACAAGCTGGTCTTGTTGGTCATTGCTAGTGTATAGTAATTCTGATCATTACTAGAGCCCACATATGTGTTCCAAAACTAAGTTATCTACAGCAAATAACAGTGTTGCTTCTAATCTTAGTAGGAATGTAGATTTATTATCCAAAAAGGATAATTTGGGCACAAGGTGGAAGGGGAAGTGGGGAGTGGCTGGTCAATACTTACTATCCTAGACCTAGCTAATCAGATTCATGGCCCATTTATCCATTATAATTTGCTTATTCACCACAAGATCTCATCCATCAATCAATCCACCATATATCACAATACCACACGTTCACAAGGAACCTACAAAAATGCCCATGACATTAAAATTTCATTATGCACAAATGTCTCTTTTTGTTTTTCTTACAAAAATACTTAAAAATATATGAAGTGAGGGGAAGGGGATAAAACTAGAAAACAAAACTAAAATATAACAAAAAATTCAAACTAAAATAAAATATGTTAGTAGTACATGTCCAACCCACAAAAATAAGAGCAACTGCTGTATTCTGCTTATAGGCAGAATCAAGAAGCTCCCTCACTAAAGGCATGAAACAGGCAAAATAAATTACAAGGTTGGAGAAATATCAAAAGGCTGAACCAGTTAAGATACAAGGAAACCAAAAACAAACTGGGGAGGTTGGGAATCTCAACATGGATCATAACAAAAGAGAATACCAGGAACAGGCCAGGAATGATAATTACTCACATTAACTAGGTAAACAAAGAGAGTCTAGATTAACCAGGGGAGTGGTCCATCAAGAAGTCACCCTGTTGCATCAAAGGGAACTTAAAAAAGAAAATCAAGGCTGGCCCCATTCACTCGAACCAAGCTTGGCACTTTCACCCACCTTTCACTAAAATCTGTCAATATCAAACACTTTCTATCAGAACTGATTTTCATCTTGAGCTGATGCCCAAAGAATCCAACCATATTGTGATGAGAATAACGTTTGTATCACAAGATTATCTTCATCCATGATGTCTACACCACTATTCTTGCCATGGCTAGCAATGTGAGAAACCATTCATTTCGCTCAAGAGAATGGGGGCAACACATTATCACTCACATATGTGAGACTGAGGGACACAACTCGCCAACACAGGACAAGAATGGGCACACTTGAGGACAGTTGTAAAAGACATGCAAAGCTGTTTCTTCTAAACCAAGGTCACACTAATGACATTGGGCAAATCCACCCAACTTCCTGTGTAAGCTATGTCATTGAGAGTATGTTTCAAATTAATTACCAGGTAAGACAAAAACCCACGGTTGCTGAGGTAATTTGCCACTGGTGCCCAAGACCAGAAAGAGCACAACTCAGTTGCTGACAAGTCAAGCACACCACAGCGTGGGTCCAATACAACTCCAGATACAAACCAGATACAAGAGACTCCTATGCCATGAAATATCACTGGACTGAGGAATGACCCACAAGGTCAATTGACACATTTTGGGGAATCTCAACTGATTTCAGGGCTTATGACAGTGTTCAGCCCTAAAAATGGGAGGAGTGATAATGAGGCTAGGGAACTAACCCTCCCCTGCAAGATCGAATCCTCTATCAACACACGGCATAGGAAAGCCAACCTAAAGGTGTGTCGATAGCTCACCACATGTAGCATTCCCAGACCCCCACCCATGACACAAAGACTGGACAGACATTTCTGCTAATATGATACTTGCCACCACCCGACGTGAGGAGAGCAAGTGCTCGAGGACCTTCTTACAGTTCTTGCAGACACTTGGTAAAGGATGAGAGAAAAGAGGTATGTGGCAACAATCTTAGTAGGAATAATTGAAACATACTTTCACCTCTCCAATTTATAGCCAGAAGCATACAAATACATGCTGGGATTTCTCTCTAGCCAATAAAACAGACATTAGTGTGATGTGAATGCAACAGACTCAGCTAGAATTTGAATTCTGCTTCCTGGTTCCATTTTTGATAAAAATAATCATTAATTGATTCATCTTCTTATCATATTTTATTTTTTTAATCCTATGAGATTATGCAAAGAAGTAAAGCCACTAAGACAAAAGAGGTTACTGAGTTTGAAAGAATAAGAAAAAAAGAGAAATATTATTAAGGAGAGAAAACAAGTAGAGGAGTAGTCAAAAGGACAGTAGATTAAAGTTGTTTTTGAATTTTTGAAGATCAAAGTTGACTGGAAAGCAAGAAGCCAGAAGAGAGTTCCACAAGTGAGAAGTGCAAGAAAAGAAACTGTTGATATAGAACTTACAGTTACATCTAGCCATTTCAATTCTGAATTGAGGAAACCTTTCTGCCAATCTAGTACTACACTTAAATTCATAAAGTCTAGATATCATAGCAAAGAGCTCATCCAAACAATTACCATGAAAATATTTATAGAAAAAGCACAGGGAAGCTACATTACAGCAGTGAGAAAGTGACTGAAGCTGAGATGCCAGGTCAGAACCAATAATATTGCTAATTCTTCTTTGGATTTTATCAAGAATCTCTAGATATACTACAAGAGCACCGAACCATATGTGGCAGCAATATTCAAGGCATGGACAAATGATAGACTTATAAATATGTAAGATTGATTCAGGAGAGAAAAATTGTCTAGCACGACACAATGAACCAATATTCTTAGCAGCAGATGTAGCAATGGATTCAATATAATCTTTCTACTTCATGTCAGCCAAGAATAAAAGCCCGAGAAGGCACAACAAGTCACTCTCATGAAGGTTAGTATCAGCCACACTAATAGGCGGCAGGTAGGAGTCTTTCAGGTGATTGTTTATTTAGTTTAATGGCATATCAACCTCAAAAGGTTATTTAATGCTGACAAGATTTTTCTGATAGTTTCATATGAATAGAGTATGTCTTCTTTGTAAGGAATCATTTTGTAGATCAGTTTTTATTGACATATTTTATAAAGAGAGATTTTGTCTAGAGTCAAATGTATTGCTGGAAATAATTTTTCCTTCCGAAATAGGTTACAAAACCATGTAGGTAAGCAGATTTATTAAACAGTTGGTTTTTATATATTTTCCTGTAGAGTCAAATTTCTTTAATGAAATTTATGATGTTACTTGGATTGATATTTTCATATAGATCCTTTAAATTATCCGATTTGTAGAGTTTGATTAGAGAGAAGCTTCCTTTGGGGGAGGGGGGATTAAAATTAACAAGCCATTCTTGGCCTCAGTTAACAACAGACTGTAGGTAATTTTTTTTAAATCAGATGCCAATCTGACCATATCAAACTGACCAGACTTACTATTGAGACAGGGGTAAATGGTTGTGTCATCAACCTTTCACTAAGTTTTGTACTGTATTAAAAATTATAGGACAACACAACTACATTTAGTAATAACCAACAATATGTATGCCTGTTTATGAAACAAATTAGAATTTTAAAATTTAAGTAAAAAACTGTAAATAATTATTAGCCAGAAATAATTATAATGTTCAGAATAATGCTGATTAAATTCTTTATAGGGGAATTATAATAATTATAAACCCTATATACTAAAAATACTCTTAAAATTGAGAAACAGCAAGATGTGGAAAACAACAAAACAAGTATTATTATCTGGTGTTGGAGACAATAGATAGTAAAATTGTGAGTTTGAGGTCAAATGTAGATCAAAGATGGATTGGAATCCAACAGATAAAATAAATAAATAAAATGCATGCAGTCTCTCTCTTATGTTTTTTTTAATATATAGATATATGTAATGAGTGTCCAGATAATTTAGTTAAAAGTTAGTCTGGAGTTTTCTTACCTTGATTTTTTGTTGAGTGCTAAAACACAAATGTTACGATTATAGCGTTAAAAATGTTAACAACCTGTCTGTGTGAACTGCTTGTGCAATAGAATGTCATGTATTTGCGTGTGTAGAAAAGAAAAGTGGGATCAGTTCTTATTGGTTTAAAATGAGTGAATTAATAATAATTATAATTGTTATATTTATTTATTATAATTATTTCTGACGCTATAATTAATCATTATTTACTTACTTTTTTGTGGTCACAACACAGTGACAGTATAATTAATTTTTTATCTATGTATTTCTTTACGGACACAACACCTTTCACAGTCTTTCAAAGAGAGATTTTTCAAATATCATATATGTAATCATACAAGAAGTCCTCACTCAACTTTTCACCTAATCCAATGTTGCATCTCTATTCTTGTTTGTATTGGCATGCACAAAAAACTGGGAAAGGTACATTGCATGTTCACAAGGAAAAGAAATGTGAAAATAAATGCCATGGCAAGAAGTGAAAAACAGATACTCCCTAAATATTCAGTTATTTCAGGGATTTACAATCTGGGTGGGTAGGTGATACTTGAGGCAACTTCTGCTATATTGGTCTAAAAGATCAACTCTTCCCTCTAACCAGTAAGAATGACTATCCTTACCTTCACTACAATCCAATACATAGCTGCCAGTTCTAATCAGCAACATCAGACCTACCTCAAGCACAGTTTGTCCCACCAATAGGTGATCCAGATCTACTTTCAATGCCAACTATGACTGTTTATATAAGCCTGTCATCCTCAATATTTGATTTGTTCTCACTGGTTCCTAAAATATTTCATTTATTTATCTATCATTTTATTCCCTTTTGGTCAAGTGGGCGGCTGCTTTTGGAGATTCCATTTCACAGACTTTATTGCTGGTCATAAAACCATAAAACAATTATGACTGAAATAAAAAAATAATTTACTATCCTCTTCTATGTGTGTGTCTCAGTCATACTCTCACATATCTAGCATAATAATCTGCTGTTAAAGTCATTTCATTATGTCATGCTAAATTTTTTTTCTCAACAGAATCTCTCTTACAAACTTATAAATCTACCATTTGTGTGTACAGTGAATATTACTGCTACATCCGGCCTTGTGCTTCTACTATATATTTAGAGAGTCTTGACAAAATCCAAAGAAAAATCTGCAACATTATCATTCCCGACCTGGCATCTCATCTTCAGTCACATTCTCACTGTCATAACATAGCTTCCTTATGACTTTTCTAGAAATATTTTTACAGTAATTAAACTGATGAGAGTTTTTATCTGATACATTTGTTTCACAAATTTAAACTCAGTATTAGACTGGCAGTTACGTCTCTTAATTTCACTTTTTGTCAAGTGGATAGTTGATTTTGAAGATTCCATTTAACAGACAACATGCATTTCAGTAATTTTAATTGCCTTGCTTGAGGTGAAATAATAAAAAAAAAAAAAAAAAAAAAAAAAAATTATGCATTTTTTTTTACCATGATACTATGTTTTGTACTTAGGCCATTTTAGGTTTTTTTTTTGTTTTTTTTTACTTGTGTGATTGTACTTTTGCTAAAATCATCTCTAGAGATCAAGGTAAAAATAATAAAACTGACATTTATTGTCAGTTGTCAGCTTTTATCTCCTTGAATCCTGTTCTTTTACTCTCTTCGGTTTCTTTCACTCTCAGTAACCCACTGCATATTAGTGTCTTTTATCTCCTTGAATCCTGTTCTTTTTACTCTCTTGGTTTCTTTCACTCTCAGTAACCCACTGCATGTTAGTGTCTTTTATCTCCTTGAATCCTGTTCTTTTTACTCTCTTCAGTTTCTTTCACTCTCAGTAACCCACTGCATGTTAGTGTCTTTTATCTCCTTGAATCCTGTTCTTTTACTCTCTTCGGTTTCTTTCACTCTCAGTAACCCACTGCATATTAGTGTCTTTTATCTCCTTGAATCCTGTTCTTTTACTCTCTTCGGTTTCTTTCACTCTCAGTAACCCACTGCATATTAGTGTCTTTTATCTCCTTGAATCCTGTTCTTTTACTCTCTTCAGTTTCTTTCACTCTCAGTAACTAACTGCATGTTAGTGTCTTTTATCTCCTTGAATCCTGTTCTTTTACTCTCTTCAGTTTCTTTCACTCTCAGTAACTAACTGCATGTTAGTGTCTTTTATCTCATTGAATCCTGTTCTTTTACTCTCTTCAGTTTCTTTCACTCTCAGTAACCCACTGCATGTTAGTGTCTTTTATCTCCTTGAATCCTGTTCTTTTACTCTCTTCAGTTTCTTTCACTCTCAGTAACCCACTGCATGTTAGTGTCTTTTATCTCCTTGAATCCTGTTCTTTTACTCTCTTCAGTTTCTTTCACTCTCAGTAACTAACTGCATGTTAGTGTCTTTTATCTCCTTGAATCCTGTTCTTTTACTCTCTTCAGTTTCTTTCACTCTCAGTAACTAACTGCATGTTAGTGTCTTTTATCTCCTTGAATCCTGTTCTTTTACTCTCTTCAGTTTCTTTCACTCTCAGTAACTAACTGCATGTTAGTGTCTTTTATCTCCTTGAATCCTGTTCTTTTACTCACTTCAGTTTCTTTCACTCTCAGTAACCCACTGCATGTTAGTGTCTTTTATCTCCTTGAATCCTGTTCTTTTACTCTCTTCGGTTTCTTTCACTCTCAGTAACCCACTGCATATTAGTGTCTTTTATCTCCTTGAATCCTGTTCTTTTACTCTCTTCGGTTTCTTTCACTCTCAGTAACCCACTGCATATTAGTGTCTTTTATCTCCTTGAATCCTGTTCTTTTACTCTCTTCGGTTTCTTTCACTCTCAGTAACCCACTGCATATTAGTGTCTTTTATCTCCTTGAATCCTGTTCTTTTACTCTCTTCGGTTTCTTTCACTCTCAGTAACCCACTGCATGTTAGTGTCTTGTATCTCCTTGCAACAAAAAATGAAGATTGAGCACTACATTCTATATAATACAGCAGTTTCTCCTTGTCACTAAACGATACTGCCATACTTTCAAAGTTTAATGAATTAAATCTCAAAAGAATTTCCACTTAATGATGAGGTAATACAACAATTCAGTATTAGTCCAGTGGTTAGAACAAACAGCTAGAGTTTCTGATTTCATATTTGGAAAAATTAAAACTGTTGTTGCTGCAATATAAAACAAAATAGAATATGAAGGTTTGTCTCATTCCTGAAAAAAATATGCTGAAGCTACATATGGATTGATCAATGGATTGTGTATTTCTGCTTTAATCCTGCTGGATTAAGAATAATCCTCTACCTTTACAACTATGTATGTGTGTCCGTGTATGCCAATCTGATGCGTTTACAAGTGTAAGGTGTTTGTGTGTGTGTTAGTCTGATGCCTTTACAAGTGTAATGTATGTGTTTCAATCTGATGCTTTTACAAGTGTAAGGTGTGTGAATTTGATACCTTTACAAGGATGCGTATGTATGAATCTTTTGTCTTTGCAAGTGTATGCATATATGTGGATCCTTTGCCCTTATGAGTGTGTGTGTGTATGAATCTGATGCCTTTACAAGTGTATATGTGTGTGAAACCTTTGCCTTCACAAGTTTGTGTGTGAATCCTTTACAAGTGTGCGTGTGTACACGTATGAGGGAGATCTTGTCTTTACCAGTTTATGTGTGTGTATGTGTGCTTTGCCTTGAAAAGAGTGTGTATGAGCATGGGTGCAGGTTTGTGTGTGTGTGATTTTTTGCCTTAACATGTGTGTGGATGTGTGTGTGTGTGTGTGTGTGTGTGTGTGTGTGAACCCCTTGCCTTTACAACCTCTCCACCCTTGATATACCAGAACAGAGCTGACAAGAACAATCCAGAAATTTCAGGTCACTGTTAAATCTGAAGAATTAAATTTGAACTGCAGGCTTTAGTTACGCAGCAAGAAACAAATAAAAACATCCTATTAAATTACTAACCAGAAACTGCAATTTCAGTTACATCAACTCCATAATCTTTACCATTACGAAGAAGGTGGACAGTAGCAGTCAAGCAATCCTCAAATGGTATTGGAAATTTGTTCTCGGGAGCACGATGATAACTGAATAAAAAAAAAAAAATTATTCATTTTTTAATTTTCTCTCTGATAATTTGAATATAATGAGCAAAAGAAGTGATTTAGTGAAACATTTCAGATCAAAAAAAAATAATTTTTCTGTGTAATTTTACATGTAAAGGAATAAACTTCAAAATCTTGTACAGTAAAAGAGCTGTAAGGGTTTACAGAAGAAAATGGAATCTTACCTCCTTGGTCAAAATGCCACTGTGTTGCATGCTGTTTTAGTATAAAAAAAAAAAAAATGGCCTCTCAACATGTCTCAGTTGTAAGACTGGCACATTACTGGTTTTGTAACAATGTTCAACTATTGCAAAAACCATTGTCTTACAACAAAGACATGTTCTCAGTACTGACCAAGGCTAATTCTGAATTTCATTTAAAGATGTTGGAATCAATTAAGTCCTACCAACCATCTCTCTGTAAGCAGGAGTGCTTGTTAAGCTTAAATGTAATTAGCCTGTAACTATTATATATTTTATATAAAATTTGGTCTTCAGTGTTCATATTTAGTCACTGTGCACATTTCTCATCCTCAACTGAATTCAGATGGGAGACGATAGATAAACCAGTTTAGCTGCTTTTTTGTTAATTGTCTTTTTTAATGTTACCAATTTGCGGTAATGTTATTTTTTTGTTACTTTTTTTTTCTTAATTTTTCTCCTCATTTTAACATGTCCCTTTGTATCACTTTGATTAATTCATTCCTTCAACCAAATTACAGAAATCTGGGAAAGGTTGCAGGACTTCATATGCAAACTTAAACACATTTGCAAGTAAATAAGTTTTATTTAAAAAAAGAGTAGTAAATAGTGAATGTAATTTATCACTTACTCAACGGAAACCACAACAAAGCCCGTTTTGTTGGCAATCCTGGCAGTGAGTGAATGATAAACGTCTGAAATAAGAAAAAGATTTATATAATACATGGCATATGAAATGAAAAGAAAAAGTTAAAATTGATAGTGGATATTTATTTTTAATCACTTCACCCCAAGCAAGGCAATAATGCAACTAGGACACAAGGGGCTACTGGGAGTGAAAGCGAAGACACTAGTGATGAGAAAGGACAATAAAAGAACAGGGTTCAGGAAGACCAAAGATAGTGATTGGAGTTGTATTTAAATTTTTTTAAGATTGTAGGTGGCAGAGAAGCAAGAAATTGGAAGCAAATTCGATAGACATGGAGTGTTAGAAAATAAATTATTAGAATAGATACTACAGTTGCATATAAGTTCATAGTAAGGTTTGTCTTTTTATTACCTATCTTAATCACAGTTCTGACAACCAATTACACAAGCTTGTTAGGGAGGTTATTCATTATTTTCATCTCTCTTGCCTTCAATATATTCTGTGAGTGCCAAATTCTCAAAGCCCTCTTTCCTCATTATATGCCCTTACGTAATTTACAATTGTCTATTTCTGATTCTAAGTGTCATTTTTGTTTCCAAATCCTTAAACCTTCCTTGTTACTCATAAGTTCTGTCCATGGTATTCTCAGTATCCTTCTGTACAACCACATTTCTTATTGCTTCAAGTTTCTTCATCTGTGATGAGGTTGTCCAGTATTCACTGCCATATAGGAGGATTGATATTACATAATATTGCAGTACTTTTAGTGCTCACTAAAAAAAAACTAATTCTCTGCTTGTATTTCCAATTATACTATAATAAAAAAACTAAAAAAAAAAATTTTACTATATAAAACTGTATGTTTTTATGGGTGTCTTGTTTAAACTCCAAAACTATATATAGATCCTTAAAATCATATATTCTGATTCAGCATGGAGAAGGTTTTGATAACCAATTTATTTCCGTACTCTTTAAAGCAAAAATATTTTAAATTGAAACATGTAATAGTATTAGAAAACATGGTAAAGTTATTGAAAAAAGGGATCATAGAATATTCCATACATGTTGTATAATAAAAGGACGATTTTTAAAATTATTATTAAATAATCATTTTATATAAAAACACAAATATAAAAAAAATAAAACAAAAGAATAATTTCTTTTGATTATCATGATCTAAAGGAAAAATGTATCAGACCCAAATTCCTAAACTCCACTGGAAATATGATTAACATTTAATAATTTTCTCTTAAATTAAATTGTTTCTATTAAACTGTTCTTAAATGTATGCAAGGAAGATATAGACTTGACATTATTGCAATAATTAATGGCAAGTAAATATTTCATTCATCATATTTACATATATTATTATGGGATAACAATATATAAATTTTTATACATCATGAACACTTTTGGAGAAAAGATGTAGGACTGTTATATAGGAATAAAGTGTCGCTGCCGACACTGGAGTTAGAACACAGATCAACAGAGAGCAAACACAGGCAATCCCATTTTGAATAAGTAGATCATGTGATGGTAAAGGAAATGTATATATGGGAATTAGTGTAGCTTTTAAGTGATCGCTATACAGATCACTATTCGGTGGTTACTTTCCAAGCAAGTATTATCAAACAAGTACTATTAATGCAAGTGTAATTTCGAAGGCGTCTGACACCAGCATTGTTTAATGGCATTACTATAGTTGTATCTGCAATTACAAAGTCTCTACTACAACGAGCATTACAAAAGTGACAAGTATTCTGTAAGCGATCTGGGATTGCAAAGGAAATGTTTGTCACAAATTATTTCCATGTCACAGAGAATAAATCACTAAGTTCAGACTCGAACATCAGTGGGGCAGAAAGAAATGCCAAAAACTGGATTCGCAGGTACTATCTCACAAATCACAATGCACGCAACCAGTCAGAAAAATAACTCATTCTCCAATAAACGCAATTTCGAATTTCTTCTCTTGATTCAAGAACGCTAATTGCTTTTATCAGCCAAGCATTTTTTTCCATTCGTTGACAGCTGGGAGAGGATGTTCAGTATTTTGCATATCAAAATATTTTTATAGCGACTTCTGCGACGGACTTGTTTTTTAATTCAAATATTCCATCTCCAGCATGTCATGCGGAATATGTGCCCTTTTGTTTGGTAAGTAATTTTCTTTTTCGCCACATTTTCCGTCATAGAATACACGCGACTCACTGTCACTTGGTTTGACAAAGTAAGTCGCCATTTTCTTTGCTATATGTTCGTTGACATTACAAAAGTGGCAATGAGTGTTCATTGACATTACAAAAATGACAAAATGGAAAAAGTTTTTGCATTATGTGTTTTGCCTGTCAGGACTTCTTTGGACAAGGATTACTGTGACGTCACTACACATGCACATAAAACAAGAGATGCTGAGAATTTTAAATTTAGAAAAAAAAAGTAGATAATCTAGCCAATTTCATTTTGATTCTTTTTCTTTCCGTCATCCTTGTTATTAAATATCCTACATTGTGATAACAGAAGATCTGCCAAGAAAGGTGAAAGATTGCAAGAACCTGGACGCAAATTTACTGTGGATGAAGTAGCAATTAAAGCACTTTCTAAACATATTCCTCAAAGTGAATTAATTTCTCCTTTAATTAGAGTAGCATTTATGTCAAATTTGTGGTCAGTCTCTTTATGGTCAGTGACTAATTCATTTAATGTGTTGCTTTTTAAAACGTATCTTTTGTGTTCATATAATCCTTCATTTAAACTTCTTGAAGTTTCTCCAATATATTCTTTCTGGTAATGTTTGCAGGTACTAGAGTATATATGTATGATAACTTTAGAAATTTTTTGCCTTGACATGTTTCACTAATTATCTAGCTTCTAGTGATATATGTGAATATTTCTTTGCACTAATGTAAATTTGGTTCCATTGAAATACAATTCTTTTTTCTGATGATTCCAGATCATTGGTTAAATATATCAAGGTAAAAACTTCTATATATATATATTTTATATATATCAAAAACCATTTTGAAGGAAAGATGTATGACAAAATGGAAAAAGGTTTTGTGTGATGTGTTTTGTCCCTTAGGACTTCATTGGACAAGGTTTGTTTACTGTGATATGACTACACATGCACATAAAACAAGAAATGCTGGGAATTTTAAATTTAGAAAAAATTATTTTTTTTTTTATGTGTCTTGGGATATAACATAGCCAATTTATTTTTTTTTTTTACTTTTGGTCTCCATCATTTTTATTATTAAATATCCTACATTGTGATAACAGATCTGCCAAGAAAGGTGAAACATTGCAAGAACCTGGACGCAAATTTACTGTAGATGAACTAGCGATTAAAGCAATTTCTAAACATTTTCGTCTTAGTGAATTGTTATCACTTTTAATTAGAGTAGCATTTTTTTTATGTCAAAGTTGTGTAGTTGCATCAACATAAACAAACTTAGTCCAATAAAGTCCTAAGGGACAAAATCTGTCAAACAAAAACTTTTTCCACTTTGTCATACATCTTTCTTCCATATATACTAGCAGCCATACTCAGCTGGTCGATCAGAAAAAGCATTCAATTAGAATGGAGAAAAAACATGTTTAAATATAACAGAGTCTATCTTCTTCAATTACTTTAAAGTACATTCATTTAAAAACATTTTGAATTAATGCAGTTACTGATATAACAGGAGTAGTCTGTATTTATTCAATCAAAGTTAGCTGAGTACATGAAGGGGTAAAACAGGAAACATGAAGACCCACTTCAGACCACAATTATTTTTGAGTTTTGGAAATTCAGTTTATCAGTGTGCTACCAGAGATGTAAAAGAGGATATATTTATAAAGCAATTGTTAAGTTTGATGAAAATTGGTTGAAAGATCAACTAAAAATAAGAAAGAAACCAGTAAAAAAAAAAATCGCCATTTTTTGCTATTTACAATGGTTTTAAACTATATGGGTGGACTCAATTATCAAGTTAAATGACTGTTAAACAATCAATTTATTGTTAGCTACAATTGAGTGAAATTTTTTATTAGATTACTTGAAAATTGAGGGAGTTCTTAGTTTAAAATTTGTGTTGAAATCAGTTTGTGTTGAAATTGATTTTTTGTTTATGACGTTTTTTGCTAAACGCAGTGGTGTAGAAATAAGAATGAGGTATCGTTGAGCTTGTCATGATGTAAGTAACCTACATACTGAGTTTGAATGAAATCAGAGGAAAAAAATGTTGAATTTATCGACTTCATTGATTATTGATTTTTTAAAAATTATTGATTTTTTACACTATCTCTTACATTGTACAATGTAATGCCAAGTTTGGTCAAAATTGGTCAGATGGATCTCGAGTGAAAAGGTATCAGACAGACATCCTCTGTTTATATATATAGATTTTGCAGATTTTTTTGTTGTGGGGATAGGCAGGTGATTTAATGGCTAATGCTCAGAATGAGAAATTGGAGAGTCAAGTTTAAATTCCAGTTGAGTCTGTTATAGTCACTTATGTGCAAATACTCTTAGGAAAGGCATGAATCGATCTCTTCTGCAAGATTAGGTGAATGGAGGTGAGATAGAACAGCCCAAACAAGTTTTTTTCCTGTGTTATCCTTGTTGTATGCAGCCATGCCTTGTTATGGAAGAGAAGAACATTTTCCTTTCATCCACTGTGTATGCTGCCACTGCTGTCCAAAATCTAAGGTATGTTAGTGTAATCCAAATTTATTCTTAACTGTCACATATGTTTAACAGTTAAGATGATACATTCATTATTACAAATGGTTCCCAAAAACAGAGCACACAGGTACATCATTAAGTTCATGATCTAATGATGAAAAATACATTTATCTTCTACAGTGTATGGCAGAAATAGCTCCTAGATAATGGTAAGGCATTAATGCCAATGGTGTCTTCATCTAGCTAATGTCTTAAAATTATTTGGGAGGTATTTCTGCCACAACCTGTATGCATTAAATAATGCCTTAATTTTATTGCATTTTTTATTTTACAATTGAGAACATATTTTCAGTAACTGGAGGTCCTGTTTAACAAAACAAAAATTTATGATTTAAATTCTTGAAGGACTTCTGCATGTAACTAATATAAACATTAAGCAGTACAAAAATTAATTGCTTGAAATTTCATAAAATTAAATAAATGGGGGGAGGGGTAACAAATGTATGATTTTTGCACAAATTTCCAAATCAATGTATTTTTCAATGCAAAAAAAAAAAAAAAAAAAAAAAAACACTGAAATTTCCTATACTAATCTTTGGTCCTCTGCTGATACAAGGAAAATAAAATTTTTAACCAAAGTTTTGAACATCTTAAAAAGGATAAAAATAATATATTTTAATAATCAAAAAATCCTTTGGTCTTTCCTCTTAATAATGACAAAGATTTTGACAATAAAACTTTTGTGATGTCAACACTCTTTGCCATGATGTCAATGAATACTCACTGTCACTTTTGTAATGCTCATTGTAGTAGAAACTTTGTTATTGCAGATACAACTATAGTAACACCATTGAACAATGCTGGTATCAGACGCCTTCGAATAACACTCATACTAATAGTACTGGCTCAATAATACTTGCTCAAAAACTAACTACCAAATAGTGATCCAAATACTAATCCATATAGTGACCACTTAGATGCCACGCTAATTCCCATATATACATTTCCTTAACCATCACATGATCTACTTATTCAAAATGGGATTGCCTGTATTTGCTCTCTGGTGATTTGTGTTCAAACTCCAGTGTCGACAATAACACTTTATTCCTATATAACAAACTTTCTTTTTATTAATTCTGGGTCATATTTTCATCATGAATGCATTTTTTTTAGCAGATCTTTGGAGTTACCAATCAGAGTGCGATGGGTAAATTGTCACAATTTTATATTTTTAATTTTGCATATACATTGTTTTTGATTTTGTCGACTGCACAATATAGTAGGGTCAGTTGGGCAACTTCTGCGAGAAAAAGAGCACCACCATGATGTAATTCACATTGCCAGAAATTTGTACTGCTTGGCAGTTGCACTGGAAACTCCAATAGGAACATTTCAGAGTGTTTTGGGTGTCAATCTGTGGACAGTGCACATGATGCTGTGTCCCCAAACAATGTACTAGCAGTAATGAAAAATAAATATCCAGTTAACATCATGGTGCTTGGAGTGATGTTATGCCTCCATTCATCTTCCCACAGAACCTCAGACTCATCATGGAGGCCTACAAGTGCCTTGAAGAGGTAGTGCTACCCTAGGTTAAGAGGGTGGCTGCTGGCAGACCCTATGTCTGGCGACAGGACTCTGCACCATGCCACACAAGCAAGAGAACCCAGCTATGGCTCTCAGACAATTTCTGCAACCACATCACCCTTTACATCTGGCCACATAACTTCATAGACTGCAACCCTCTTGATTATGTGTGGAGCACAGTTGAGCAAGGAACCAGTAAAACTCCTTATAACATCAAAGATGAACTGGAAGCAAAGATTATGGCAGCATTCACCAACTTAAACAAGGGGACCATCCAGAAGAGTTGCAGGAGATTCCAAAGTCATCTGGAGGCTGCAGTTGAAGCCACTGGCAATATTATTAAATAAATTTCCACTTTAGTATTTCCAGATAATTTTGTTTAATTTTGGTAAATATATCTGTTAAAATGAGATGTCACTGTTGTTTTTATTTTTGCATAATTTAGACAACAATTTATCCATCGCCCCCTGTTTATATATATATATATATATATATATATATATATATATATATATATATATATATATGTGTGTGTGTGTGTGTGTTGTTTATGCATTCAAGCTGAAAATGAATTCTGTCAAATTATGAAAATGTATTTAGAGAATTTTCATAGTCTGTTTTAATTTATTACTCAGAGAAAAACAAAATGAGTAAATGAAAAAATATTTTCATGGTTCCTATATTACTCAATATTAATATATAAAACAAAAGAAAAACATCTGATGGAAAAAAATTGATCAAGTAAGACGTTAAGGAAAATAATTCAATTGACAAAACTAATCTGGTAAAGATGAAAGATCCTAGAAGAGAAGTACTTGGCATGTTTTAAATTAGGCATGAAACAAAGAGTGACTGACCAATGTCCAGATTGACCCAACCACCACCATGGAAATACATCAAGCCAGGAAGTTCATCTGAAGAGCTTTTATCCTTGTGTATTGGTCGGAATATACGGACAGGTACACCACTGAAATTGTCATTCACTATCTGAAAGAAATTCAAATATTTTAAAAAATAAAACAAGTGAAAATTAAACTAAAACAATATTTTCATGACTAAAGCTCCTATCTATGGCACATTTTACATTATAGCAAAAAATATTTATTTCTATACAAAAGTAAACTAACCTATTCAACCTGTAACATTCTTTTTTTTTGAGAATTAACTTTTGTTTACAACTATGTCAAAATGACTGTTTTGATTGGTTTTTCTGAAAAAAAAAAAAAAAAAGAATCAACAAAAAAAATAATTCTGATTTCTATTAGAAATACACCACAGTATTTTGCTTTCTGGAATTTGAAAATTTAATCCTTTAGCTTTCAACTGAAGAAGAAAGCTTCAAGAAAGATTTTTCATTTATGAAAATACATTAAACCTTAGGTGTACCAAATTATTGGAATTGCCTAGTTTTGGCAGAGTGGTTCAGAGCTTCCTAAGGAATCACAAGGCTGAAAACTATGTGGAGTTTGTTGAGATCCTGGTGAAGGACTATGGCAAAATGGCCTGCTGGATACCCTCAAAGCCCATATCCTTGACGCTCATCTTGATAAATTCAAGAAGAACATGGGGGCATGCTCAGAGGAACAAGGCAAGTACTTCTACCAGGATATACAGGACTTTGAATGCCACTACCAAGGATTGTATAATGAAAACATGATGGGAGATTAGATTTGGGGTAGATTCATGAAAGTAATTTACAATATAAGCATAAATCATGAAAAACTCCTCACCTCTAAATTTTGTGGTCTTTCTTGTGTAATCCTAGAATAAATCTTACTTATTATAAAATGCAGATTGTGTGTCTGTACATTTATATATTGGATTGGATTTCCTACATTTTTCAATCAATTTCAACAAAACTTCCCAGGACTGCATAAAATTACCTTGCGGTGGTTCTGAGCGCCAAAAATTGGAAAAACACAATTGTTTTTGCATGAAATCAATTTGAAAACACAATAAAACACGATTCTGTCGCCAGAATGAAAGGGGGACAACTTATATCGAGTTATACTTATAAAACCCAGGTTGTTTGTGTGTGTGTTGTGTGTTCATTTATATATGGGATCGGGTTTCCTACATTTTTCAACCGATTTCAACAAACCTTCACTTTTTTTTGGCAGGTAGTGTTTCTTATTGTCTTGCACACTTTTTTCTTTATTTTTACATTCAGAATGCTTTAAAAGTTCCATTTACAAGACAATTGTTTATAATAAAATTCTATTCAATCGATAGACTCAACGATTGAAAACAATGTTTTTGTTTGAGTTTGGGTTTGACCAATTCGTAAAAAAAAAACCCAAAAAACAAAACAAAAAAAAAAAAATAATTAAGACATACCTGTCCGTCAACCTTAAACAATAATCTTTGTCAATTTTATTTTTCAGTCTTTATGATGGTCGATACTTTATCTATCTCTTACTGTTACATCTGGGCTCTATTGCTAGTAAATGCTATTTTTGAATCATATGTTGTTTTGTTCCTACTTTGCATGAACAAGAATGTTCACATTCACCAGTTTTCCCAATGGGAATAGGTAAATTTCTGAAATATTATTATCCTGCTTACAAATCAAATTTTAAAGGAAATATTGGCCGTTTTTTATATTTTCCCGGTGTGAGCAAATAGGAAATAACAATTGCTACCCAAGGACAAACACACACACATATATATATATATATATCTCATATGTTATTGACATACAGAAATCTGTAATGTGGTACTGAATAACATTTTTGATTATTCTTTTATAATTTAATCATACTAACCTCAACTGAAGCAAAAACTGGTTGTTGAATAAATGCTTTCATAGCAAATCTGGTCATGTTTATAGAGGACATATATCCAAGACTCTCAGAGACAAATCCCTGAAAGAAGAAAATATATTATTATTATTATTATAAAGAAAAAAAATAGAAACTTGCCTACATAGATATAAATATCTACAGAACAATTCTAGTAACCTAGACTCCATAACATGTCACATACCCAGCATGATTCAGTTGAAATGAAAAATTACACATTCATAGGTAGCCATTTTTAATTTTTGGGTACTTTAGAGAGAGAGAAGTAAAGCAATACAACATCATCACTTAATTTTTTTAAATTTATATATAAAAAATAAATATCATTTCAAAATTTAAAAATGTGATTATGGATTACTTGTAATTACATGCATGTGTCTTAGTATAGTTATAAATAAATATTGACCAATTTTATCAGTGATATTTTTGCATTATATCAAATATTAAGAATATAGTAACTAGCTTCTGCAAATTGGAGGAAAGAGTTATCAATAATAATGTTCTGACTTCGAATCTGCAGTTATCTACCTTTAATCCTCTCTGGGTTTTTTTTTTTTTCATTTTTAAATGTACTTTTTATTACATCAAAATTTTGTGAGGCACAAACAAATTTTCATTCCAAAAATGTGGCCCAGAGAAAATAAGTTTGGGAACCACTGCTCTAAGCCATCAACAAATTTAAGCATTTCTGTCCTTTCAATTGATATTTTAACATAATTTATGTTCAATAATATGTTGCCAAAAATACCATGATCAAATATTTAGTTATAATTCATTTGCTATTTTTGTTTTTACCATATCACCCCATGCAAGGCAGTAAAGCCATTAAGGCACAAGGGGTTACTGAGTGTAAAAGAATAAAAAAAAAAAAAAAAATAGAAACATTTTTAAGGAACAAGAAGAATAGAAGAGTAATCAAGAGGACAGTAGATAATGATTGACACTGCATTTGAATTTTTGAAGATCAAGTTTCACTGGAAAGCATGGAGCCAGAAGAAAGTTCCACAATCAAGAGATGTGTGAGAAATGAAACTATTGGTATAGAACTTACATTTACATTTAGCCAATTTAAATGTTAACTAATGAGACCTTGACACCAATCTAGTACTATGCTTAAATTCATAAAGTCTAGGTACCATAGCGAAGAGCTCATTTGAACAATTACTATGAAAATATTTATAGAAAAGGAACAAGGAAGTTACATTATGGCAGTGAGAAAGTGACTGAAGCTGGGATGCCAGATCAGGACCAATAATATTGCTAATTCTTCTTTGGATTTTATCGGGAATCTCGAGATATGCAGCAGCACCAGACCATATGTGACAACAATATTAAAAGCATTAACGAATGGTATATGCAAGATAGATTCAGGTGAGAATAATTGTCTAGCACAACACAGTGAACCAACATTCTTAGCAGCAGACATAGCAATGGATTCAATATAATCTTTCCACTTCATGTAAGCCAAGAATGTAAGCCCAAGAAGGTGCAACAAGTCACTCTCATGAAGGTTAATATCAGCTATACTGATGAGAGGCAGGTAGGGATCTTTTAAGTGATTGATAAAGAAGTTTAATTTGGGAGGTATTAAAATTAACAAGCCATTCCTTACCCCAGTTAACAAAAGACTATAGGTCATTTTTTTAGATCAGCTGCCAATTTGGCCTTATCGAATTGATCATTAAACATAAATAAAAGGAATAAATGAAAAAATATATACTAAGACCTCGTAGGGTAATTGAATCTTTTAAACACAGAATCAAAATATTTAAATACATGCCATGAATATTGCTTCCAGATCTGGTCTTGTGCTTCTACTATGTCTTGATAAAACACAAAGAAGAATCAGCAATGTTATTGGTACTAACTTGGCATCTCGGCTTCAGACCCTTTCCCCCTGCCATTTTTCTATAAATACTTTCATGTTAATTGTTCTGATTAATTTTTACTCTATTCTACCTAGACTCTGTGAATTTAAGAACAACAGTAGTTTAGCAACAAGGTTTTATCATTTTACAGTAGAAATGGCTAAATATAACTAAGTTCTATGCTAACAGTTTCTTTTCTCACACGTCTCGTTTGTGGAACTTTCTTCCAGCTTCTTGCTTCCCAGTCAACTTTGATCTTCAAAAATTTAAATGCAATGTAAAATTCTTATATTCTCTCTTCTTAATTCCTCTTCTTTTATTGTTCTTTCTCCTTAATAATATTTTTGTTGTCATATTCTCTCACACTTAGTAATCCCTTGCATCTTGTGGCTTTATTACCTGGCTTGATTAAAAATAAATAATTATTTATGTGTACCTAATTAAGTGGCTAAACAGTGTATATAAAGTTATATAAGTAATTTATTTTGCACAAAAACTATTTAGTTTTCAGCATAATCCCCTTCCTTACCCATTCAATAATTAAGTATTAAATATTAACACACAAAGCAAACATAAAATTAGAATCAATAGCTGTATTTACTGCAAGGAATTTGGACCAGTGTGTTGTACCAGAAAGTTTTTCTCTCGTCAGAGTCCATTTTGCTCATTTACAAATCTACCATTCATCTGTGCATTGAATGCTGTTACTATATCTGGTCTGGTGCTCCTATTTATCTCAAGGTTCTTGACAAAATCCAAAGAAGCATCTGTAAGGTAGTCGATTCTAACTTGGCATCACTTTCTCACTGATGTGGCTTCCCTCTGTCTTTTCTACAAATATTTTCATGGCAACTCCTCTAACAATCTTTATTCCTTGGTGCCCCGACTCCATGAATTTACGCATGCTACTAGATTGGCATATAGGTCCAACCCATTTACTACTGAAATAGCTAAATGCAACTGCCACTTTTACTCCAAAAGTTTTTCCTTGCACTTCCTGCATGTGGAACTCCCTTCCATTTACTTGCTTCCCTGATAACTACACTCTTCAAAAATTTAAATGTAATCAATCCCCATCTTCTATCTTCTTGAACCAATTCATCTTTTGTCCTTTCGTCAGTCCTTCCTATACTCAGTCTTTTCTTTCACTTTCACTCCCTGTACCCCCCCAACTGCATACTAATGGCATTCCTGCTTTGCTTAGGGTGAAATGATTAAAAAAAAAAAAAAATTACTTTTGTGTTCAAACGAAACATTGAAAGAGAGTGACTGCCAAATACAAGTAATATATTGATGCTACCAAAACCATTATCACTTTAAGTTTAACTGGATAGTAAGAGCAAGGTCCCGACACAAAATGTAGACTGATATATAAAAAATAGTAACAGTAAAAAAAAAAAAATACTTACAACTACACCGACAATTTTTTTAATGGCACAAAAACTTCTCATTGTCCACACATTGTCCATCTCAGGAAAAAGAGGTTCATACAACCAATAAGCAAGCATAACAATGGCAACTGCCATGACCAGGCCATGTGTTTTCACCGACATTGCACTTCTGAAATTTAAAATAATAATACAATACGAAAAGAAAGCTCAGAAAAAAGAAGTTCATATAGTCAATTAGCAAGTAGAACCATCCCAAGGAAGCTCTATTTCTGCTATAATTAAAAGGAATCATCAGGGATTTCCTTGATGTCTGCAGTTAATATTAATGTACCTTGGGGATTATTTAAAAGTACTCACATAAAAACAACCTGTGAAAATTCATATCATGTTGCAATATAAATTATATACAATAACCCTATTCAGTCAGATTCACATTAATTCTTGATTACACTATATACTCATGTATAAGCCAACTTCATGTATAGTACAATCCCTGAAATTTTTGACATGAATTTTAATCCCTCCAGAAAAAATTTACCTGTGTAAAGTGCAACTGGTCGCCAAAAATCAATGATTTGTAACCTCCTCAAAAAAAATTATCTGTGTATAGTGCAACACCTATTTCTTGCATAGAAAAAAAATGATCATAAAAACTCTCATCATACTCAAGTATATACGATACTGATAATCTTTTGTTTTTTGATTTTTAATGTGCAATATAAAGAGTTAGTAATGAAAGTTACTAAAAGTTAATAAATTCAGTATTCAGTTACCCTATCTAAGAAATGCACATCTTTTGTTCGAATCTCCAGAAGCCCATATCTGCTAAATTTTACTTTCAAATGTGAAGCATAAACAATTTCTATGAAAATACTGGATTTTATTTATAATCTAACATTATTTCTTATTACAGTAGAATCCCTGACAACTGGAATAAGAAGGCCTTTCAGATATGAGGAATTGCTTACAAAGTCCAGATATGAAGGGTTATATTTTGATTAAAATAAAAGAACTGAAATCAGGTTTAAAATTTATTTTCAATGTTTTATAGTAAACAAAATAAGTTAATGATGAGTGAAATGTAATGAAAATTCGTTAAATTAAGTATGCCACGTATGCATAACAAATAATGTAACAAGGAATTTTTAATCACTGTTGCATGATGATTCTTTCTCTTCTAATGTCATTCTCAATTTTTTCCACATTTCATTTTACTTTTGTTCTTTTTAACTGTGTATGTGTTATTGCAATCATCATAGCTGAATGCTGGATTTCTTTCCATAAAACTGACAATCTTTTTAATAGCTTTTTCAATTTCAGTTCATGTTTTTTTTTTTTATTTATTTCCTTGTTCATTGTGACAGTGTGAACACTGGAGAATAGTTTCTTTGGAAGATTTTATATCATACAATGTTGACTTTCCTATGTTGATCTCGGCCATTAGTTACACTGAACTTTTACCAGCGTCTAATCTGTTTAGAATTTCCACTTTTTGGGATAACTCCAAAGTTGTACTTTTCTTCTTATTCCCGTCATCTTTTGCACCAATACAAGCCATTAGGGTGAAATAGGCATAAGCAATTATTCAAAGTAAATTTCCTGAAAAACAGAAATTTCAAATCCATTACATATCACCCAAATAGTTCAAATATAGACATCAAAATCATGTCCAGATATGAGGGATTCCAGATATGAGGCACTTCGGATATGAAGGAATCTACTGTACTTTATTTATATTTAGTGGATCCACATGTTAATCAATAGAATGAAAGTTTAGATATATTTGTCAAACAGATCCTATCAGTGAAGCAGGGGTTCCATAAACAAGTACTTTTAAATAACTAAGATGCCTCTCTATAGATTAATAACTGCTCTAGCAGATCATTACTACTGTTGCATAAGTTCAACCATTAAACCCCCAAAATTTCTGACCTTGTGTCAAAAATAAACTTAGTAAATCTCAACATACATTGCCAAGATGCAACATTGATAATATCAGGTCATTCAACATCATGTCATCATATCCAGATGACTCCACCCACCATCATAGTTCACACAAATTCACATCTCAGCAGCAAACTATGTTTAACTTTCATTGCATTGTATTAAATCAATCAAGAATAACTATAAACAATAATGGCACCAATCTGTAACTGATCAACACATCAACCAATAAGAAAGATATTTTCCCTATTCATCTCGAATATGGTATATTAAAAGAAAATCATGCTCATTTCCTACATATTCCTTTGTGAAGAAGGGCGTTTCACTCTAAAAGCTTCTTCCCAAAAACTGCTTCTTTATAGAACAAACTCCCACATAGATGCTTCCCCACAGTCTTAACTTCTTCAAGTCTAGGGTCAATCATTACCTAGCCACCATATCCTTGTAATGTTTACTTTCTGCTCTTTTCATACCCACGCCTCAATTAGTAAGCCTCTATCTTAAGTGGCTCTTGAACCTTGTACTGGGTGAACTTTAGTAAAAAAAAAAAAAAAAAAATTTAGATATCTTGCACTGGAGCTTTAGTGACATGTCTCCTTATATTTTTCCTAAATACCATTGCAAAGGCAAACATCACCACTACTGCATTCTAAACAATCTTTCCTCAAATCTTACATTTCGTATTGTGCCAATTATGAACAACACCCTCATTTTCATTTTCCCAGGTGATGTTCTGATATTTTTGGTTTTATTTCCTCTTTACCATACTAACATTGCTACATCTATGAGAAGTTAAAATGTTTCCTTGTTTACAACAAATTCAGGTTTTTCATTTGGATGGGGAAGGTAGACTGGATGCCAATGTCCCAGTTACTATTTATTCTCCCTGATAGCTTCCAGCTTATGCCGATATCATTTCTTTACATGATCCAACAAAAGTGATTTGCACAATTCCCAAGACAATTGTTCTTACTCTGCCATGCTTATTTTCTGATTCTTTTTTGATCTAGTTTACTAAATTCCCTTGAGATGGTTTACAGTTTCATCTTTTTCCTTGCAAAGGTGATATTTTTTTTCCCTATTGATGATTGTTATAGGCTGACATTCGATAATGACAATTAGACCACCCATAAACCTATTGCGTTTCTTTTAAAAGCAATTCATGATACAAAATGATGAGGTAACAATATTATCAATTTTATTATTAATTACAAATTCTAATTTGTATTTAATGATAGTTAATTGTTCCACTGGGCCTTATAGTTAACAGTAACACAATGCATGAAAATTTGGAGTAATTGCTTGAAACAGGTGGAGTCTTTTTCAAAATAATAACTATATTTTTTATTATACATATTGTTTCTGCCTAATATTTATTTCAAAATACATAATGGGGGCAAACCAACATGCATCTACTTATTTCCCATCAAATGATGTGACACATATAGCTTCTTCACCTTTCAAGTAGCTGTTTATAAAAAATAGTTCTAATGTAGTGAATTGTATGTTGTGTTATGCATATTTAAATTTATTTAATAATGTTGTTATAATTTATTATGAATGTTTATTATTTTTCACACATAATTGCAATATAATATGCAATGTGTGTTTATGGATCGATAAGAAAGTGTATTGAAAAAAATACTGAATTTTCTATCAAAAATACCATAAAAACAAAAAAAACTGTCGAATTTTAATGAAATTTGACACTCTGCACTTGGCAGGTGTTCAAAGTACAATATACTCCGAAACTTGTTGAGGTATTTATTATGTATTGTTTACTTTAAGATATATCTCGGGAACACTCATACATACACAAGATTATAAATAAAACTAGTTTGTTAAAAAGTTATCTCCCTTGGATTTAAAAAATAAACAATTTGTATTATGATTAAAAATTAATAAATAAATACTAATTAAAAAAATAAAAATAGAGAAAGACTGGGTAAATTGATTTATTTTAGAAATGGATATTTAAAAAAAAAATGAATTAATCTGATTGTTATGACAAAGACTTTTTGAGCCAAAAAAAAAAAAAAAAAAAAAAATGAATTGTGGTAAGCAGACGATAAAAAGAACTCTACACATTGATTTTGTCAAGGAATGGATAGTTTTTTAACGACTCCTCTTATCTTTAATTTTTTTCCTGTGGAAGATTGGAAGAGAAAAAAACAGAACTTGTTTTTTACACATAAAAAGCGAAAAAGAAAAAGTGAGTAGTGAGTGACTTCTTTTTTTTCTTTTTTTTTTTCTACACATTTTTTCCAAATGGAAGTCTCTTTTTTTTTTTTTTTAGTTAGGATTGGCCAGCCTTTTAGAATTAAGAATTTCCAAAGAGAAAAGAAATCTTTTTGTTTTGTTTTATATTATTTTATGAGAGACCGATTAAAAAGAAAAAAAAAAAGAAAAATATACTAAATACTTTACTTGGGTTACCGCCAAAACCAAAATGAATGCATTTTTTTTTTTTTGCCAATGAAGAAAAAACCCTGCTACGCACTGTTTTTAAAAGTTTGACAATAGAAAATTATCAGATTTAGTAAATTTTCACTTTTCCAGTCTTTATTCGTCATCATCAATCAATGAATTAAATTGGTTATTTTAGAAATCTCCGTAAAAATATTTAGGGGTCAATCTTCTTGTGTGTACTGAGTTTTTTTTTTTTAGGTTATTTTTTTTTTTTTTTTTTGCTTTGGTGAGGCGGAGATATAAATATTTTTTTATAAAGAAAAATTCCTGAAGATATTATTTAATTTCAGTGAAAAAATTATACAATGTCAAGTGTGAACACACTGAATATTCGTTCTGAACCTTACCAAAGATAATTGAAATTCAATATCTTTTTTTTTTGTGTGTGTGTGTGTGTGTGTGTGTGTGTGTGTGTGTGTGTGTGTTCCTTTTTTAGTAATTGGTGCTTGCATAATTTAATAAAACATTATTTTGTTTCCAGTTTGACAGGATATCGCCGCGGACTTCTTTAAAAGAAAAAAAATAGGAGAAACGCATTTTAAATAATTTAAATATAAATGCCTTCTTTGAACATAAATTTCGGTTTTATTAGAAAGATAATAAATAACCAAACTAATTCGAATTAAAAGAAAAATTCATTTCCGTGTATAATAAATCAAGTTATTAGGCCTTTTTAAAAAAGATTGCCACATTTTCTTATCACTCATCGAACTGCCATTATAGACGAAAAATGTAAACTAAACAAATTTAAAAATT